GTGTTCGAACTTTTTTCGGTTCCTGTTTTATTTTCAGGTGTCCGGCAGGCATGCAGGCGGGATGGGCGGGATGGGCGGGATGGAAGGGTATGTTTCCCAGCCATTTGAAGAGACGAGCCGTGCATGCAGGTGCTATAGCGGGAATGGACCGGGTCATCATTTTGCCCGAGATCCATGCAGGCAAAACAGGTAGCATGCGACCACCGATTTGCTTGGATGGATCTCAGGCGAGATAACACCCACCCAGTACATCCCAGATGGGGCTGCATTCTGCAAAATGGCTGGGAAATGTACTGGGAGCGGGGAGGGAGGGGGGGAGGAGAGTGGTGGTCTTTGTTGGCTGGCAGATAAATTAAGGTTCGTCGGACAATAGGTTGACGTAAATTTCTTAAAAGCAAAAAGGTGACGAGGTGGATATTAGTGCTGGCTGGTCACAGGGGAGGCCGTTCATCAAGATCTGACAGTTGGATATTACCTTCCCGCCCCAGAAGGTTTTTTTTTTTAATCCTTCCCTCGTTGTTTGTCCATTCTTTTTTTTTTTTATCCTTCCCTCGTTGTTTGTCCATGGGAGGTGGACCATAGTAAGAAAGGAAAGGATTTTCCGATTTTGTGGAAAACAAGCATTTTCCGATTTTGTGAAAAACAAGCATTTTTTCAGCTTTTCCGATTTTGTGAAAAACAAGAAGAAAAGAGGATGGATGCCCCCCAAATGAGGAGAAAACAGCTTTTCCGATTTTGTGAAAAACAAGAAGGAAAGAGGACGGATGCCCCCCAAATGAGGAGAAGACAGCTTTTCCGATTTTGTGAAAAACAAGAAGACAAGAGGATGGATTTCCCCCAAATGAGGAGAAGACAGCTTTTCCGATTTTGTGAAAAACAAGAAGAAAAGAGGATGGATGCCCCCCAAATGAGGAGAAGACAGCTTTACATAGAAAGAGAAAAAAAACAAAAGAAAAAGAAGAAGAAGATAACCTTTCAGGGAGTCACCAGCCTATCTCAGTTGGTAAGGCACACGTGTGGCATTCAGGAGGTCGTGGGCTGGATTCCGATTGGACTCATGTAGCTTTCCCTGCATACTTGGTGCCCGTCATTTAGAGGTAGACCATTGGGCCCGCCGATCGGCATTAAGCAGGTACTGTTAGCGTTCGTAGGGGAAAGGGACCGGAGGAGATGCACAGCGTCTGGTCACCTTGGGTGAAACCGAACACTGATAATTTTCTGAATCTGCACACAAAACATGTCCAATTCGAGAGCTTCATCCAATTCTCGTTGCCGGTACAGGCTCCCCCGTGCCATTTACAACAGACGAAAAAAGAAACAAGAAAAACAAGAAAAATAGGAAAACCACATATACTCAGCGTGCTATGGAAAACGTGTAGCTACTACTAGTTAATAACATAAAACAAAGACCAATGACTTATAGGTACGATAGATACCTTTGTTTGTACAAACTCAATTTGTAGTAGAAGATCAAGTCCGGTCTACCTCCTTTGAATTCGACTTTTCTAAATTTCCTTGCCTATTTGAAACTAAACGTGTGTCGCAGCCACAGTTTCCCCTCTTCTCTTCTCTCCTTTTCTCCTGAAAGCCCAGGTTGTTATAGAGGGAAAAAAAAAAAAAAAACAAGTATGCACTTTTAGACTTGTTACTTCGCCATCTTCCCCATGAGGAGGTTGCTCAACCTCAAGTTTGCATTCTGCCTCCGACAGCGCCATAACACAAGCTCGGCGACCCACTGACAAGGGCACATCGCAAAGATCAAAATCCAGCCACTGCGCAACGACGCCACGCATAATAATCAAAAATTTTCAGAGGGGTGTTCCCCTCTACTGCCATCCTTGCCATCTTTTACGGGTTTAATAGCATGTACATCAACTTTCCGGGTTATTTCTAGATAAATCGGAAGAGTAAAGGAACTCCCCTCTACCTCCAATACTTTTTTTGGCTTGTCCCCACCCACCTACGTCATCTTTTCAACACGTCTCCTTTCCCGTTGGGCCCAATTTCTGTTCCTCCTCCTCACCCTTCGCCACGCCCCTACCTCTCTCCTCCAGCTTTTCGTCGTCCCCCTTCCTTCCMCCCCCCCGCCCCACCCCTCCCCGCCTTTTTTACCTCTCTTCTCCCCCCCGTTGATCGAGTTGAACGCAAATTTCTTCGGAGTCGAAGGAAGAAAGAATATGCTCGCATCCATAAGCAGAAACGGAACACAAATTTCTTCAGATCTGAACGCTATTTCAGATCAGTCTGCCAGCTTTCATCTTTAGATTGAAAAGTTTAAAATCATGAGCAGGGGAGGATTTGGTCCGTGGACCGTACGAGGTCCTTGTGTGTGTGTTGCATGTCTGTCTGTGTGTGTGGCTTGTGTGTGTGTGTGTGTGTGTGTGTGTGTGTG